CCGAGCAGAGCCCATGAGCGACGCGTTGCACTGTCTTCTGTTCAACCCGTTTTTTGTGGTTGAGTCTCCGGAGTCTTGAATGCAATAGCGTGAGCTACTGATGTTTATTGCATTTTACTACACTTTAATGCAATTTACATTTTATACAAATTCTTTGCAACACTTTCAAGGGTTTGGATTATATACTGGACATATCTGTACATGCATGTACATGCTACGTCCTGTATATATATAATTATATATATATATATAATATTATATAATATATGTTGAAGTGAGTAGGTACTAATAGCTTCCAGTTTCAACATACATAATCATACAATATCATACATATATAGCTGCCACACCAAGGACAACACAGTGGAAGCGGTGGATATCCCATGGAACCTACGTGGCTTCTTCTTGCTGAATTTGACAACAGCATTGTGTTCAGATGCTTGGCTGAAGGGGTCCTGGTTGGAAGTTTGTGGTAAGCTTGTAGTTTTGTAGCACGCTTAGTTAATGGTGACAAGATGGGCAATTACAGGGAGTGGATTTTATATAGTTTTCAAGCATAAGATTATCACAGGATTTGATTTTATACAGTGTTTCCCTGCGTTGTGTTGTTCGCCTCCTGATGCGAGGCGCCTTCAACTCACCGCACGATGCCTTTGAAAGTCAGGTGTGAGAACGCGCTCACGGGATATGTCTTGCTAGACATTTGGCGGTTGGTTGCAGATCGGATTTGCACATCCCGAAAGCTAGGTCGAGGAAGCTTGTGGATGGCTCCACAAACTCACAAAAACCTCCAATGCTGCGCCTTAGGAATCGTAGCAGTGGCTCTCAACTTTGACTTTCCTGGGGATTGCTGGAAATCAGGCCATTGTAGAATGACCGAGTTACCGATCGAGGAATGGTTTGGAAGACTGAGATCCAGATCCAGCACAAGCCAGCTAAGCGCCAGAGCTTTCTGGCGCTCAGCAGCCAAGGAGATGTTGCGATACGTGAAGGAAGGCAAGGTACAGCCCTCTTCCCGCTCTGGTGGATCTTCCCCCAAGGCAGTTTCTCCGGAGGAGTTCTTTGACATGAGCAAGCGAGCTCTTGATTCTGCCATCAAGCTGGTGGCGTTCTGCAGCAATGTGAGTGAGGAGAGCCTGCGTTCCCTTTACTTGGAGTCTGAAGGGTACAATCTCAGTGCTGCTGACCTCAATGGTGAACTCCATGAATGGGAACAAGATCCCAAAGATTTCTGGGAGGATTTTGGTGAACAAAAAGCTGATGCTGATGACCGTCAATGCCAGGACTTGCTGGAAATGGTTCGGCAGAATGCCCAGGATGAGTGCGTTGACGAGGAGGCAGAGAGTGCAAGGCAAGAGCCCCAACAGACCGACCATGATGCTTCCAATCTTCAAGGCCACCTTGCTCCTGAATTGCAGGGTTTGCCTGACAGCGACAAGCTCCCAGAGGTTTTTGAAGCCAGAGGCGAGCCTGCTAGCCCATTTCGTGCTGAAGACGCAGTGATGCAAGCCACTATGGATGCAGACTACGGGTGCACTCTACACCGGACTCTCAGCCTTTGCCCTGGCATGCTCACTTTGGACAATGATGGCGGTGCTGTCTTTGATGCACTGTGGAGGCTTTGCATGTACCTCAGGCACTACAAACAAGGAGGAGACAAACACTGGCTCAAGAACCCACGAGCTGCACGCAGATCGGCAAGGGCTACCAGCTGGTACAAGTGACTTGGAATGATTTGGAGCATCTTGAATTGTTGTGATATATTCAGGTAATTTCAGGATATTTCAGGTATATGAGTTCACGACAGTGGTGTGGATTTTATAGTTCAGATACTCCAGTTGGCTGTCTGGGTCATGATTTTATAGTATCAAGATGTATCAAGTACCCAGTACGATGCAAATAAGCGCACAGAATGCGAGAAGCATGGAGAAGACAGCAGAAGACATGTGATATACACAGTTGACACATCTTCACACTCTGTATCACCAAAATGCTGAGTGATTTCAACGATGTTTTGGATTCTTTTTGAGCATATATCATACAGGAGGCACGGAGAAGCCAGGTATATCATGAACTTGTTTCAGGATGTTTGAGGTGGATTTTATAGATCAGCAGATTCATTAATTTACAGGGTCATGATTTTATAGAAGAAATACTGCTGGAAGAAAGCGTATTAAGATGATGAAGTCATACTCGTACTTGACAATTTGTTTACGCCATGATCCCTTCCTGCTCTTGCTGAGTTGGAATGAATCCAAGCTCGCAGAACTTCGGCGAGAGGAAACCACCACCACCTACAGACAGAGGGCAAGTCGTCTTGACAAATGGCGGGATGCGACATTGCAGGCAGCCAAAGATCAGGAGGTGGCACTGAAGCTGCCAGACGCGCTGCAGTCGTTTGGATTTTGCTTGAATTGTTTTTGACTGGTTTTGATAGATTTTTTTTATACAGTCTGTTTTCCTCCAATAGACGTTTGCCTGTTGTGACAGACGGTATTCTGTTCTGAGGCACGGCCATATCGTGATGGTGGTGGTTCCAGGAAAGGATGTGAGCAGCAGGTATGCCATCCTGGCTGTTGTGACGACAGTCTGGAGAAATTCCAAGAAACCCCAGGTGACAAATCTTCCTACCAGCCTGGGCCATGTGGTGGCTTTCAGATGCCTAGAACTGCAAGGCTGTCCGGGCTTCCTCACCAAGTTTCAGGCACATCAGAGGTCCAAACCTTGGGTCCTGCGACCAGAGTCAGTGGTAGCGATCCTTGATGTTCAGGATGAAGAATTGAAAGTTGATCGCATGGTTTGCCAGCTTACGGAAAGCTCCATGTCAGTTTGGACTGACTTGAACAGCAGCGTTGCTGACTGGTGGCCAGTTCCTGAGGATGAACCAACCCAAGGTTCCCGAGGCTTGTACAAGAGGAAACGCAGGCAGAGAACCAAGAAAAATTCAAAGAAGAAAAAGTCTGGAGGTGATACCAAGGAGACTGAGGCAGAGGTGCCGGCAGATGATGAAGAAGCCAACGGCATGGAAGAGAAGGAAAAGAAAAGCAAGGGCAAGTCGAAGAAGAAGAAGTCCTCAAAGGACAAGAAAGACAAAGAGCAGGTGAAGAAGGCATCTGGCGTGATCGTTGCCAGCAAGTCCTTGAAGAAGTTGAAAAAAGTTGAGAAAGCCAAGGTTGTCCCGTTCCAACCCAAGAACTTCAAGAAGATTGGTGACGGCCCTACCTTGGTGGTGCAGACCATGAATCGCTTGAGGAAAGCCGAGCTAGGCAGATTCAAAGATCCTTCGTTCTCCCTCGATGGTGTTTGCAGACTTCCTGGCAACCACAAGTTCAAGGAGATCATGTGGGAAGAAGTGGTGATGAACGCGCATCAGTTCTTTGTAGCGACGTCGCTTGGCATGCTGATGTCATAATAATGCCATTGCTTTGCCATTCCATAACTGGATTGGATGTGATCGGATTTTATAGACAAGGCATGATCAGCCTTTCCAAGAGTTTTCATACTCTTTGCAGGGTCTTGATTTTATAGAAACACCATATTTGCATATTCATGTATGGTTGGGTTTTTATAGAGATGACACTGTTGGAGCTTCAGTGGGATATCATTTTATAGAAAGCTGATCTGCTCATGCATCCTTGCTCGAGGTATTGGAAGTTGTCTCCCAAGATGTTTGGCAGACAAGTCCATCAAAGATTCCTCCGTGCTCAGACACAGCTTCAGGCCAGCCAGCCTGAGCGAGGTGCTTGGCTGATGTTGCTCACTGAGATTTGCCAGTTCATTAAGCGCTGAGTTTTTTGAGAGTGAAGATGCATTTTGCATCTCAAGCTTGACGAAGCTTGATAATTAATTTGGAATGCATGTATTTTCCCTTGAGATCCCTGCCTTGCAGAACTGCCTAAGCGATCCTTAGCGTCGATAGCTTCTTGGGATTTTTGATATTATATATTGCTATTTATTGTTGTTGTTTGGGTTGATTTGTTTTAATGTTTTTTTTTAAAATTTTTTTATCATTCTATAGTGCTGTGGTATGCTGTGGTGGGATCAATGGATGCATTTTCATCACGTCAACCGCATTTGGGGATCGGCAGTCTCAATGTCTGAATATGCGCAGGTGCTTCAGGTGATGTGTTTCTCATTGTGTTGATGGATGTTGTGCTTGTTGTTTGACGATGTTTGACGTCCCCATTGCGGGCTTCAGAGTGGAGCCTAAATCTGGCTTGGGTAGGGTTCAGTAGGTGAGCTTATGTACTGCTGCAAAGCCTGATTCACTATTGAATCAATGGTTGGATGCGGCGATGTGGGATGAAACAACAGACCATGGGCAAAGCACAAGAAAAATTGCATGCTGCAGCTGCTCACAGGAAAGATGCCACACCTCTGTATAAAATCGATGGACTGTAAAAAATCAAGCGCTGGTAAAAAATCACAACCTTCTCACATTGATCTTGTGAAGGAGGAAATTCTAGCACCTGACTATAAAATGAAGCTCCTGTATAAAATTGAAGCCCCAGATTGAATTGAGCTCTACTTTTTAAAACCTTGGTAACCCCTAGATTCTGTATAAAATCTATTCCATCATTGAAGACCTTGAATTGGTTAAGGTATATCAAAAATCTATAAGATCTAATCCCTAAGATGCTGGCACCTACTAGGAGAGGGTTTGACTTAGCAGTCTTCTGAGTTATAGACTTGAAAATCTTGAAAACCAGTCTTTGGGTTTTAATAATATACACCAGAGCTGTCCATAATATTCCAGAATGATGTTTTGAGTTTTGTTTTTATAGTGATTCTGGTGGTTGCTTGTTGCAGGGCTTGATTTTTATAGATGGTCAAAAAGTGCCAAATCCATTTTATACAGAAAATCCTCTCCTCCAGCCTCACCCCAGCAATTGGAGAGGGGATTAATTAAGTTCATAAAACATCTTCAATAATACAGAAATTTAAATTCTTGGGACATTTTAGATGAACCATGGGAGTCTCATGACCAACGCTCCGCGGCTCAGAACACGAAGTCTTTACGGAGAAGGTGAAGACGGCGCCGTATCCGCCGTCCATGACCAAAGTCAGGACAGGTCTGATGACTCCATCGGGCATTGGTTGGAAAGTATGGATGTTTCCATCATGGATGATTTAAGGAAATGTTTATGATATACATTCCATATTAGATAATACCATCATACCAATCTAACCATATGATATACCAATATGATGGAAAATCCTATCAAAACGGATGATCTTGAGGACACATTTTAGGAAACCCGATGAGGAGATCCCATGGTTTATCAAGGAAATGGATGATTTAAGGAAACCCAATGAGGAAAAAACCCTCCATGACTTAGGACACCTCCAGGACCTTGGGGGTCATAATCCGGGAATCCCGTTCTTCACCATCCAGTATAATTTGGTATAATAGAATGACAGAGGGTCTTGAACACTGTTCCGGTAAAGAACACTCCAAGCTATTTTACAAGCTGGTAAGTTGGTCTGTCAACTTCATTAACTACAATAGATATATCTGCCATAAACCCAATATAGGTGTAGGATGGTGTAGGCAACTTCTGACCGTGGCACATTTGTAGGTAAATGATAGGGCAAATTAGTGATTTAACAGTGATCACCTTCTGTACACAAGCTATAATATGGATTTGTTTGAACATGTTGCATACTTCCACCTACATCCAGTACATTATCATGTTCATTTTGTTGGGGTGTGCCCATTTTCAGACACACCTAATATCGGTGAACGGTAGCCACAAGGCACGCAAAAACCCAGCCCAAACTGGCTGGAATAGGATCGTTTCGGTCCACGATTGTTCCCACTGCGTGGTCGCACTTACTAAGTAGGTTATAACATGTTATAACCCCAATCATGAGTGGATTAAGCCTACTTATCAAACTTATAACCAGAGATATATATAACCTACTTAGTAAGCGGGATGAGCCACCAAGCACCAAAGGTTTTCCAGCCGTGTTCGATTACGAGAGGAGAATTTTCCATCCATGTTTGAGTGGGGATAAAACCTCATCTTCATGGCTAAACTGGCTAAACCTCCCCAAAGTTAACGGGGTAACGCCCACCTGGTGGTAACAAATAGTTAGTATCACTAGGTTTCATTATTACTGTACACATAATATGTTATATCTAAAATATGTTATATTGCTATGTTTATTGCTAGTAGTAGTATGATTTGGAACTAACAGTATACTTCATTGTTCATAAAATACATGTTTGTTTTAATTGGGAACACATAATTGATTAGTACTAAGTTTTATATAACGTTATAATATATATACGTATATATATATATATATGTAATGTTATATTATTACTATGTAATGTTATATTATTGCTCTTGTCATTACTATTAGTAGTATTAGCATTCTCAATTCGTTACGCCACGGGATGATGATCCCCGTGCAGGACTTTGCGTTACTTCTCCTTGTGGAACCAGGCACAAAGGGCGGGAGCTCGTGAGATGTGGCTCGAAGTCCTAGGTTTTTTTTTGGGTATCAAATCACTGGTACTCGGAACGATTTTTTTGCAGATCACCCAACTATAGTAACTATAGATATTGGGGATAGAAGTCATCTCAACTGACGAAGTCATATTTTTCAGAGGGGTAGGTTCAAACCACCAACCAGTGTTTGTTTTGGATTTTTATAGAGATCTAAGAAAAGGTTGCCCTCTGGTTATGACTAACATAGCCATGGAAGCCATGGCCCATAGAAATAGATGGTTTACCGTTTTTACAAATGGGTGGATTTTCCATGGCTATGTTAAATAACCAGATGGTATAAGTCATCTCCAATGTTTACAAATTAAGGGGATATAATATGATATAACTCATCATCTCCAACAAGTTTGTTTTTTTCAAGTAAAAACAACAACAAAATCCCCAACATCGGGACAGTTGCCCCACTGAGAGGTGATACGGAAATCTCCCGGGCATGTTGGCATTGGACTAACAGACCCCTTCCCATGGTCTGGTTGAAAAACATGGAACGAAACATGTAAGAAATACATAGATCAGATGATGAATAAATAGATTCTATAATGTTAGATCCACAATAATTATAGGATGATGAATAGATTCTAATGATAGATCCACAATTTTTGTACAGGATCTGAGGTTTACTTTTTTTGCATCGCCTTTTTTCCCGGAGATCCTCCAGATCACTTGCCTCATCCAATCATTGCAGGACTTGCCTGGCTTTTGTTCACCGTTGTTATATTATACACAAATCTAACTTGCTCCTGTAGTTGAATTTAGCCAGGAACTAATGCCTGGGATGATAGGCATGGATTCCACCACTGCTTTCTGGTTTCATGGGAGTAATCCAGCGCAGGCGACGGCTGCGTTGATTCGGAAGTGCCTTGCAAAATGGCTGGGAAAACCCATGAAATCCAATGGCTTGTTCAGTTGATCTTGGGGTGGTTCCAGGCTATCCCGAAATTCACTGGGTTGCTCGTCATCATTGTCTCCAATGACTGGCTCAACAAACATTAGTTGAAAGTTTCTATGCAAAATGGAGGTCATTACATAATACCATAGTTAGCCTCTACAAAATCAGCCATAGTTAGCCATTGTTAGCCATAGTTAGCCTAGGTAAATCAGCTGAATCCCTCCTGCAGCCGCTTCAGCCTAGGTTGAAACCCGACATCTACCATTGTATGGATTACCATGCCGCGTTGGCTCCGTTATATCTGGAGGCTGGGCTGGGTGGAGAAATCCATTCCGCGAAGGTTCTATGGCTATGATAGTGATAGTGGTTAGTTAGGGTTTACAGTAAGTACGGATCAAACATGATACTTGAACGGGATATTGATGAGGATATTTGATGGTATATAATATTATGTCTTAAAGGATTTGATAATATATCATGGGATGTATCACATTACTAGGGACTGAACGAACTGAACTATCAAAAGTTGGGATGATGCTCAATCCCATCCCCTGTTCATATTGGACACCCGGCCGAAACCGTGGTAAAACGTAGGGAACAACAACACACATTTGGGACCATAGAATGAGGTGTTTAGTATCAACAGTATGGGAGCTTGTGGAGATTGTGAAACGGTTTCCGTTTTTCTTTAGGTGTTTCCACTTTCAAAATTTTGTTTTAGGTGGTTTTGCGATCCCTGACCTGCTCTTCCATCAGGGGAGAATAGCCGTAGCTTCACCCACCCCGGAGGAGAGTGAACAAATCCCCATCATTTTGGTCCTACACAATGCCGACTACATGGGAGTCTCTTGGGCACATGAGTCGCTTGAGCCCGGTTGCCAGGGAGGTGTTTGGATGAAGCGTGAGCCGAAGCTCCGCGAGATGCTTACATCCTCATATCAGCTGGTTGCCCCCATAAATCTCCATTTTTTGCCGGTGAAACACATTGGTTTGGTAGGTTCCAAACGTCTAAGTTTTGCTGGGCCGAGGTGGTAGAGACAGACTTCATCAGCGATCGCTTCTGGATCCTTGGTCTTTGATGATCCTCTGGGAATGAAATTTGGGGATTTAAGGGACAAAGAAGGGGATGTAGAGCCAAGAAATGTGGGGATTTCATCACCTAACATTTGGATTCGAGGGGTTTATAGTGATTTATATCCAACAAATGTGGAGTTTTAAGTCACTAAAATGGGGATTTAACAACAACAATGTGGGTTTGAGCAACAGCAATGGCAATTCAAACAAGAGAAATGAGGACCGCACCTAGAACAACTTGGGTTTTTAAAGACCACTTGGAATTTGAGCCATGGAAATGAGGCTTGGATCAGCAACACCCAGAATTCAAGAAATGGACACGGGAGTTCGATGGAAAATTGGTAGATCTGACCCACAAAAATGGACGTTGCAACAGAAAGTCTTCAGATTTCACCAACACTGCGATGCAACTGGCCCATAGCTGGTGGAGTTTCCTGCCCAAAGGTCATGAAACATAGCTTATAGGGGAAACTCATCGAAGTCTAGTTTGCGGGATTTTCCAGCTGATGTTTGATTAGCAGAGGGTAATGTGCCATGAGAATTCCAATATATATATATATATATTCCATGAACACATTCCAGTATATATATATGTCCTCATCATTATCCCCTTATTTATATTCCCATATTTGATATGGACTAAGAACCCTCCTCTTCACACAATCTGTTGCTTGGGATCTTCATCCAAGACTTGGCCTGGTGAAATGAACAAACAACTTGGCTATCACTTCCTCAAATATCAATCTGTTCATTGGTTATGTTAGAATCTATATATATATATGTAATCCAATGATATACACTGCATTTTTTTTTTGTAACCTAAATCATAATCCCAAAGGTTTGTTGGTAAGAGAGATCTCAATTGTTTGTTGGTAATATGAATCCCAAATGGTTTGTGTTGGTTACGTTAATTGGGGGTTAATGTAATATAACATTAGTATACCACCAAAAAATGATTAATATAATACATCTTAAGCCAACAAATGGTTATCCTCAATAGATATCAATTCACCCAAACAAATATATCACTTGATGATGATACATCTGAATGAGGATCATACTGTGGATGGAAGAAATCCTGCACCAGTTGGCAACCGTTAGGTAACTATGAAACACTGTAAACAATGGGATAATCATGGGATAAACCATCTACCAACAGGTGCAGGATTTCTTCCATCCACAGTATCACCTCATTTTATCCATTTTTCTCCCATTTCTGGAAGTCAATGCCGTCCCAGGAAGACGGTGACGCAGCTGAGACGTCTCAGCTTAATCCTGAACCTCAAGGTGAGACGGGAGTAGTAACAAACATGTGGACATTTTCAACCAAAAACAGTTTAATACAGTTTAATTATGTTTAATCATGATTATGTTTAATTATGTTTAATAATGTTTAATTATGTTTGATCATATTCATATATGTTTAATTACTTTGAAGAGAAACATGTTTTGTTTTTGGTTTTGTAAGGAACCATTTACTGTTCAGCAGCAACACCATGTTTTTTTCCTTGTGCCATCTGGTAATCAAACATGGCAACGGAAAATCCACCCAATGATAGGCGCGCTTGGTGTCTGGCCCGTTGCGCAGGTGGCGACCATCAGAAAGTACTGCATGTTTGAGGGTCGCTTCAACATGCTGAAGGCAGGCGTCACCTACATCAAGCAGACGCAGGCGACGGGAAATCAAGGCATTGGATAGGGTGGTTCCGGTTACGAACGTACGACCCATAGTGGGGAACTCATTACTTATTCTTTTTTGGGATCCCCAAACAACATAAAAACATGTAATTTTTCAAGATTTTGCTCGTCTTTCTTCTTGGGGCTTTTATTACCTTCTACGTCTATATCTTACTTGTAGTTTAGGTGAATTTTCGCATCAAAACACAACGGGTGCAGGCCGGCTACGGCATTTGCGCGGTCTCTGAGAACTATGCCGTGCCTTGGGCGAACACACACAGCATGGTGATGCTGTTTTGAAAAACCATGAACTGGGTATGGGTCAATACCTATAAAAATACAATTTTTAGTGGGATGAACATCCATAAATCCCAGCTATGACTTGGGGTTCACTAGGTACCAGGGTTTTGACCCATCCCCAACTCGAAAAAAACATCTGAAAGCTTATACTTAGATGGGCCATGGGATTGGTTAACCAGATAGTACTTGGGTGATAATCCATGATTTAGCCAGTTTTTTTTCCACCGGCTACGAGCCACGTAACTAATCCCAGGCCCGGGATGTTCATCTTTCCACCCAGTGGGACCGGAAAAAACAGGTGTTTTTTTTTCCCCAAATGACAATGGGACCACCCCCAAGAAAAAAAACATGGATGGGAATGGTATAATGGCTCGATGAAACCATTTTTTTCATTTTTTTCCACATGTTAACTTGAAGATGGAGTAGAAACGAGTTTTTCCCACATGTTGACATGTTATCTTCAAGTTTCTAACTAGTTTTCCCCTGATTCAAGATACAACTTGGGCCGAAGACACCATTGGCCCTGGAAGATTTTTCATCGGGAAGATCGTCTTCCTGGTCCCTGGTCATGAATCATTCATAAACTTCAAGGATTTTTCCATAGGAGACATACATTATTATTATTATCATATATATATATTGAACCCCCATTTGTTTATTATTATTGTTATTATCATTATTATCATTATTATACATTATTATTATCATTATTATTATTATACATTATAATTATTATACATTATTATTATTATACATTATTATTATTATCATTATTATATAATGTGGTTAAAACAATAATAAACCACCCATTTGGGAATGGTTTATACCACCTCTTTATGGTGATTTGGGGGATGGTTTATTGTTGTTTTAACCACATTATTATCATTTTCATTATTATAATATATATATATATGTATATATATATATATCCCATAGGATCCATGTATGCTATATATGGTAACATTTACCATAAATATACCCCCAATGTTAGTATATATACCAGCACCATGGATCCTATGGGTATATATGGAACCCCCATTTGTATCGGATACCCTCATTTGTGTCATCAAACATCTCCTAAGTGCCGAAAAGTCCACCATTGAAAGTTCGGTGAGTTGCCCAGCGGCCCAGCCATGTTTGACTACTTGAATGGTATAGATCCCGTTATCCCATGGCGTGTCCTCATATTATTCCATTATATATATAATTATATATATGTATATATATATGTAGAATGTAGAATCCATTAATTTTTCTATAAATTAATCCATTTTTCTCAATGATTCTTCATGATTGACAATTATTGCCCCATTAAATCCCATTAATAATCAATTGATAATCGAATAATCACCAGAATCACCATTGAATGGGTTCTATTTTCTATGAGTATCATTATCTATAGTCCCCATGACTATCACTTAAAACATATGGAAAACTCCCCGATTCGCGATTTCCAAGAAATCACCATTTTCCAACCATCGCTAATCTAATCCATTTTTTAATCCAGTACTGATCCATTGATGATCCATTACTGATCCATTGATAATCCATTGATAATCCATTGATATTCCATTAATAATTCATCAATCATCCATTAATCTTCCATAAAAAAATGCGTCAAATAAGCCATTAATCATCGTAGAAATCATCAGGTGGAGCTGAAGCGTGAGCGCACCTTGTTCGCCGGCCTGCCGTATCTCATCAGCTTGGACAACGCCGCTTGGGCGCGTCAGCGTCAGCCATGTTTTGGCAGGGTGGGACGGTGGGGAGTTCGGCGATTTTTGCTGGTGAAGTTACTTGAGATACTTGGGATGTAGCTGGAGTACTACAATATACATATATAATCATATATATATATGTATATATATATGTAATTGATGATAGTTATATGATATTTCATATGATATTTATATCACTTAGATTTTTAAGTGGTGAATTTTTGCTTGGGATGTAGCGAAAATTACACACTGATTGCAGTTATATGATGTTTCTATGATTTCTAGTTTAATAGTTTAACGGATTCTTTTAAGGATGGAACTGACTGTATAGATGGGATGGCAGTGACATACAGGAACCCGCCGTAACCTGCAAAAAAAAGGGCTTTGCCCAGTTGAACCCCAATAACTGAAAGGTGAGGCGGGTTCACCCCTGATCTGCCTCCGATCTATTCCAATGTATATTCCATACATCCAATATCCACTATCTACGCTTATAATCATAAGATAATCAATACAACATAGTACAATATGTGATATGATATTTCACACATAATTTCACACATAATTTCCCACATAAACATGACATTAATAATGTGAATAAGATGTTTTCCCCTACATAAAACAATCCTATTCGTATCATTTGTATGAATATTAAAGCTAATATAGTATTAACAATCATTATATAAAATCGAATGTTAATTAGGCTTAATACACATGATATGAATATATTAGGTTTAATATTCATACAAATGACTAAGCCTAAATATTGTATTAGTATACATACACATATATTAGGTTTAATACATATTATACAAATATAATATTAGGCTTAAATATAATATTTGTATTAATATTTGTGGTGTTCCCAGCCGAGGCCACCGATCCCGCGGACATCCAAACGAGCATCGAGAAGCTCCGCGCGCTGCGCTTCGAGGCCAAAGGCCAGCTGCAACGGCACTGCGGCGCCTCGGCGATGCGCCACGGGGAAGGGATGGGGATGGGATTTTGCCTCGGAAAACCTCGGAACATATGGGGAAAAAGTATGAAAAAGTGGATTTTGACCTAGGAAAACCCAGGGGAAAATGGGAAAAACAATGGATTTTGCCTATGAAAACCTATAAACATACTGTGGATGGAAGAAATGCTGCACCAGTTGACAGATGGTAAACATCCCATGATTTCTAGGGTTTCAGCCATCCTTTTGGTGGTGCAGGATTTATGGCGATTTAAGTATCGAAACTGGGGTTTTGCAGCCATCAAAAATTGGGAGGTTTCACTAGCCAAAACGGAAAATGGGGGGGTGTGTAAATATGAAAAATAAGCCGACGTAGATCCCCAACAGCGGTTGGTTTCAAACAGTGGTCCAGCTTTGCAACCCAAGACGGATTAATGATTGCAGGAACAGGATTCCATAGCAGGTTTTTCTTCTGTGAAGACTCGAGCCATTTGCAGTGGGCATGACATCATTCATCACTGGCTAAAGGACTTAAACCAAAGCAAGGGTAAGGCGCCGTTTACAAACTTATCGGAAATCAGTACGTGTCCGCCAACCAACAAGCCTGTTATTGTCAACATAATGATATCATGCTCACTGCCTGCTGTGTAGTTTTCGCGTCGTTACACTTGCAAATTCATCGTTTGAATGGTGTCAGTTTCTTGTCGCCTGGCTTAACGCATTATTGAATTGTATCGCCGTGTTTGCCTGGAAAGGTAAGCTGTGTGATTTTGGATATTCAAGACTTCGTGCTAACCCGAGTGTTAAATTTATTCGCAGGTGTCCGCTAACCAGCAAACCTGTGAATGTTAACGTAATGGTATGATGTGCATGACACGTTATGATGCACGTGGCAATATGTTTTCATCTTCATGAAATCATATCATGGTCATGAAATCATATCATGTTCAGCAAATCAAATCATTGTCATGAAATCAAATCATGTTCATCAAAGCATTTCACGGTCATGAAAGTATATCATGGTCATGAATTCGGTCACGAAATCAAATCATTGTCATGAAATCATATCATGTGCATCAAATCATATCATGTTCATGAAATCAAATCATGTTCATGAAACCATATCATGTTCATCAAATCATATAATGTTCATGAAATCAAATCATGTTCATGAAATCATATCATGTTCGTGAAACCATACTGTTATATCGTTCAGGAACTGCAGTGCAGAAAGTCCAGTGCAGCGACGGAAGTGCAGGGAGTGGATAGCAGAGACTGGAGTGCAGGGACTGGAGTGCAAGAAATGCAGTGCATGGACTGGAGTGCAAAAACTCGAGTGCAAAGACTGGACTGCAGGGACTCCAGTGCAGGGACTTGAGTGCAGGGACTGGAGTGCAGGGAGTGGAGTGCAGGGACTGCAGTGCAGGGACTTGAGTGCAGGGACTGGAGTGCATGGAGTGGAGTGCAGAGACTGGAGCGCAAAGACTGGAGTGCAGGGACTGCAATGCATGGACTGCAGTGAAGGGAATCAAAAAGGACCACTCAAGAACCTGCAACAATTGAAACACGTTAGTGCACGAACTGCAGACCCGAGCATGCGGGTGGAAGCAACTGGAGTAGAACGACTGCAGAACCTGGATGTGTGGAAGCGGAAAGGCGAGGCAATTATGTTCTTGCAAATTCCACTGCACCCTTGGCAGTCTTAGTTCTTCACAGTTTTTGGTTCAACTGCGCTCTTGGAAGTTTTTACTTTCGTAATTTTGCTGTCCAATTTGTCTATTGGTGGTCTCAGTTTCAATATTTGTTTGTCGAACTGGGTTCTTGAAGTCCTAGTTTTTGATAATGAAACTGTTTAACTGCACCCTTGGCAGTCCTAATTCTTAACATTTTTTTGGTCCAATTGTGCTTGTGGAAGTCTCAACTTTAGTAATTTTGCTGTCCAATTGTCTCTTGGTGGTCTCAGTTTCATAATTTGTTTTGTCGAACTGCGCTCTTGGAACTTTCAAACTGGACGGTATCCAGGCCATTCGTTTGAGTGCCTGGACGAACAGTTTTGTGGAAACGTATTTGTGTGTATTTGTTGTTAGCATTTACCGTCGTTTAACATGGTTATGCATGGTTATGCATGGCTATGCATGGTTATGCATCGTTAAACATACCTCATACCAAGTATATAGTGGTCAAAGTATACACTTTGTATAAGAGCCAAACTGGCTAACTTCAAATGAGTAGCCTGAGTAGCCTTCGAAGCGACATGGCGCCTTCGTTCACGCATACAACGCCGTCGATTCTGATTTGATTGTTTCGCAAGTCGTAAGAATTTGTTCGTCGAAAGGGGTCGGTCGGCCTTCCTTTTCGTGTTTATCGCGTTGCCGGTTTTGATTTGTTGTTCCGCAACCTTGTCCCTGTCCGGAACCTATGGCATAATCCAGGGCGTATATCCGAACTCTGGGTCCGCAGCCGCGGTGGTTCCCGGAACCTTGTCGGAACCCAGTGTTGCTAGAACCTTGCCGGAACCCTGGTTCCCCAAACTCTGGGTTTCCAGGATGTTTCAAAATTGGTGTTCCGGTGATTCCAGAACCTTGGCACAATCCAGGCTCTGGCTGCTCGAAGCCATGCTCCTGCAACCTAAGGTTCCCGGAACCTTGTCCGAGAACCTTGGGATCCCGGAACCTTGACGTCCCGGAACCCAGAAGCTAGCCAGAACCCATTGTTCCCGGAACCTTGCTCAAACCCTGGTTCGCGGAACCTTGGGTTCCCGGAACCTTGCCCCGAATCCTGGTTCCCGGAACCCTGGGTTCCCGGAACCCTGGTTCCCGGAACCGGCGAAACGAGGCGGACCCTGGTTCGCGGAACCTTGGGTTCCCGGAACCTTGCCCCGAACCCTGGTTCCCGGAACCCTGGTTCCCGGAACCGGCGAAACGAGGCGGCAGGGTCGAGCAGTGCCCCGGATCACCCCGAAGGCTATGTGGGCTGAGACCCCAAAGCATTCTGCTGTTGGGGAAATATAGGAGTTTCATCAATTCAAAATTGTCTTTGTTAATATGTCTGAAGTGAGATGGGATGGGGTTGGTTGGGGATGGGGTTAGAAACCGGGCTTCAAACTTCGCCAAGATGAGCTCAACGGGAGGTTAGAACCATCAAAGATTGCGGGTTAAGAAGGCAAGACATGGGAAAAAATTTGAATTGGCGGGTTGAGGTTGGAAACACGGTGTTTGGAAAAGCATGTTGGAGTTTCTAACGCTTACCTAGGGATGTTAAAGATAAAGCGAAAAAATGAGGGTGTGAACCCATGAGCCTAGGATCAGGTGAATATAAACTGCAACTTGGTTCCACAGTTCCTTCTTTGGGGCCGGTCCTACCAAGAAATTGTACATCCCTCCCAAAATCTCCATATTTTGCAAAGATTTCCGGATGGCTCCAACCCCCTGGTAAATGATAGCCATAAAGGGGGGTAAATTGGTATTTTACCTCTCCTTTTTCCAGGCCCCCCGAAAAAGTGATGGACAAATTATCGCTGATTATACATCCCCCATATTTTCCAAAGATCTCCACTTATGGTTGTGCCCCCCCAGTGATGTTAGTTGGTTTATAAACCATAGTAAATTAATTGATATATATATATATAAATATTGATATATTTACCATAAACCATAGTGAAATTGGACTTATGTTCACCAACTTAGCGATTCCGAACTGGGGCACAACCTTGTGTTGTGGTCTTTCGAAGTCTGCAGCTCCAGCGTGACCCAGGTTTGGATGAGGACCCAGGTGCGAAGATCTTGATTTTCATCGGGCGCTGGGTGAAACAGTCACTCGAAGTAAATGGAGGATTTCTAGCTGGGAAAAATTATGGAAGAATCTACCTGGTAATATGGAAAAATCCTCAAAATACTAGCTGGGATTGGTATTTACCTGGTAAAAATGGAGGTTTACTGTAGATGGAAGAATCATCGAAGTCAATGATTTCCAGCTCGCCATGTTTGACTGCTGAAGGGCGGTAGGTCCGATTGTATGTGGAAAGCCCAACCATGAAGCAATCATGTGTCCGTACATGTATCAGTTTCTTCTTTTTCTCCGTAAGCCTCAAAGAATTGGAGGTTCGTAGTGATTTGGGTTTACCAAACATTTTTCTTTGGGCGGGTCTACAGGAGTGCATCCCAAGTCGCCACTGGCACATGGAATAGCCCTGTATCTGGGTTGAATCGCCATGAATAGGGCCCCCCAAAGATGAAACATGATAGACAAGTTCTTTTTTGCAGGATCTTATAGATTATTTTTCGTCATATTCTCTAGTTTTCCACCTCTTCTATCTATTTCGGGGTTGTTATATATCCCACTATATCTCATTAATACAGTAATTATATACCATTAAATCATATTAAATAAATCCATATTTTCATGGTTAAGTGCCCATTTTTGCTTGTTCATTTCCTATTGGTCAACCCTGCCTTAAATCCCATGGTAACATGGATTGACCCTCTGGTACTCAAACATGGTAAGTTGATTTTATCATCATGGCAACCCCCAAAAAGATGCCGACAAGTGAAACACGAATCGCTATTCAAGATTCCATATATTACTCAATTCCATGTTTTTTTTGGGTGGTTTTGGTATCATCATCATCCACCACTTGTGGTAGATTCTATCATGAAAAAACCCTTCACCCAGGAAGGGTGTGGACCACATCGCCATGCTGACGCCGGCCTTCCTTCGGAGTCACCCAGAGGTGCGCACCACGAGAGTTGTCGAAGTCACATCCCCATGGATGAACAGATGAACACTTATAAACTGTATATGTTTATAGTGAATCTATAGTGAATCTAGAGTGAATCTATAGTGAATCTAGAGTGAATCTATAGTGAATCTATAGTGAATCTATAGTGAATCTATAGTGAATCTATACATATTTTATACATTTTTAGATCTGGTGCGTTTTACGTAGGGAATGGATGGGTTGCTGGGGGTTGCTGGGATGATGACATTACTAGTGATGAAATGGATCATTCTCGAAAATTCCCTACGTTTAGCACCAGTAAGAACAGGGTTGGTAAACATCAGAAAACATCCCCAAATCTTCTCCAATTCTCCTAATTTCTGCTTCCCCAATTCAATCTCATGGCTTCAAAGCCCAATTTAGTCCTTATTTTTTTTGCTTCAAACCATTTCAAATTACACCCACCGCAGGTATCAGAGCCCTTTTTTCCATCACACCCCTCTATCAATGGGAATTTCAGCCATGTTTCGCGACACAACGACACAACGGTAACGGCAGTCGCGCAGATTTCGCCGCGCAGGTGCAGATCATCTTGGCTGGGCCGCCGGACGATGCCTGCGGCCTCTATGCTGGCACGCTGCTGGATCAGCTGGGCCCCTTGGCTGGAAAGCTATTGAAAATGGCCATTTGTGGTGAGCTTTCCCATAAAAACTGGCGATTTTCCATAGTTATGTTAGTTTACCAGAGGGTAACTCCATATAACTGGTTGGTGGTTTGGAACATTTGGATTATTTTTTCATAGATTGGGAAATTTGATCCCAACTGACGAACTCATATTTTTCAGAGGGATTGAAACTGTAACCACCAACCAGCTGGGGATTCTTCGGATTTTTCAGTGACCGAAATGGCATTTTTGTGAGGAGAGAGGTGTTGGAGTTGGCAAAGATGGGAGAGTTTGCCCAGATAAGATGGGGGTGCACCATGACTTGGCTTGGGACTTAAGTGACCGGAAAAGGGGACCAACGTCAGATGGGGATGTGCACGGCCAGCTGCAATTTTTCCCCAGGGAAGGTGACCAGTTCTTGAGAGAGCCGTGATTGGTTTGGGAGGACTATGAAATGTGTGGAAATGGCGGGAATGGCTTGAGGATTACACAATCATAAGTGGCTATATGTCTAATCTGGTCAAAATTTGTTTCAGTGTTAAGACAAACCCCAGTTAATCATAGTTAATCAACATATCTAATGGTTGCGGGTCGTACACCCTGAGGATAAGAGTAGTTTGAAAGTCCCGCAGATGGGTCTTTGGCGAGGCCCGCAGACAAGGTGAGCTTTGATGAGCCGGCTTTCCAGTTTTTGTTGGGCACCCCCAACAAAAGCATCTCCAATTTCTAATTATAGCAACCCATAGCAAACCCCCAAAAAATCAAAAAAGCAAACTCCTATACAAAAATAGCGAGACATTTACTGGAGCTCCTTCTACTTCCAAACATTTTGGGGTGCCATAAGGGTCCTTGGACCTCACAGCACTAAGGAGATGAGTTCAAGGGCCGTCTCTTCGTCTGTACCAAGTTCTTCAGGCTCCCCGAGGAGCTCCGCCGGGGTGCGCACCTCTGCTTCACGCCCTCGTGTGACGTGGCGTCAACCGAGGCGGTTTACGTGGCAAACAATTGAGATTTGACCAAGAAAAATAGAGATTTACTCAACAAGAATAGGGATCTAACGTGATCTGACCAACAAGAAAGGTTGCATACTGAGGACAATTCCAACATTTTCCAACATTTTCCAACATTTTCATTGTTTTTCCATCATCTTCCACCATTTTCCCACGGTTTTTTCCAGCATTTTCCCAGCATTTCGTCCGAGGTTCCGAGCCCTTCGACTACGTGGACGTGGAGTTCGGCCTGCTGGGCGTGCCCTCGGTGGGGGCCGCCATTGGCGGTCTCGGAAAAATGCCAGGCGCCATTGGGAGATCCAGATGATGCTGAGTTTCTCAATGGACCATCGGTGACCATCCCAAAAAGGATGGGTATCGATTTTTTTTTGGGGAACCCAACATCCACCATATTGGGGAATCCATAGAAATGGATGGGGAAGCAAGATTTTTTTGGGGGAACCAACCCAAATGGAACTTTCCCAACTAGATTTTTTAATAGTCTGCTAATAGTCTGTGAGTCTGCTAATAGTCGATTTTTTTGAGGGGGAACCCAACATCCACCATTGGATGGGGAATCCAAAAGGGGACAAAAAATTGGGAACCCCACGAATAAGCAAATTCAAGTTGAAATGGGGAAGCAAGGAACTCAGAGTTTCCCACGACAGTAGAATTCGATGTCCATTTTGATGGTTTCTCTGAAACTAGGCTACCCCTAAGTCCACTATAGTCCATTATAAACTTCCCCATTAAATTAGCCAATAGTGGGGAGACAAACCCAGTTTACAGTTTATTAGGCTTAGAATCAGAACTCTTAGAATCATGTTACAGCCATTTGATGGGGGCTATAGCCAGTAAATGGCAATAATCATGGGATTTACAGTAAGGGATATATAATGATTCAACATAATAATGATGCGTACTACCATGCTGGGGGCATATATCTTATATCTTTGGTAAATACCTCTTTTTCCCCGCCGCCTGCGGTGCTTCGCCAGGCGTCTACTTCCGGCAGCAGAACAGTGATGACTCGAAGAGTTTGATCGACAGCTTCTTTTGTTCTGTGGACCATGCGCTGAATCTGCCACTCGGTTTCTGCTGGTGTCATGGTGTCATCGGTGTCACCATTGGTTTTTTTGTCGGAGAAAAAAACCAAAGATTTGGGTTTAGGGTTTTGTTCCTTTCCAGAAATTGGGGTCTTGAGTCTCATATTTTTGTGGCCCGGCATTTCTACACGCTTCAACGGTTTTTCAATCCCAAAATCAGATCATTGTTTGTCCATTCCCAGTGGCCAATGGCGCTTTTGTGGAAACTTGACCCTTTAAGTACGAAAACAATATCTTTTAAAACTGAAAAATCGACACAAAAAGTGGAAAATGAACCCTCATACGTGGAAAATGGACCCCTTAAAGAAAACAATCGCTTGTAAATGTGAAAAATCGGCCCTGGAAATGTGAAAATGAATCCTGGAATTAACCTTTGAAATGTGGAAAATGCGGCCTCGGAAATGTGGAAAATGAACCCTGGAATTGTGGAAAATGAAGCTTTGAAATGTGGAAAATGGACCCCTTAAAGTGTGGAAAAATTGCCTTTTAAACGTGGAAACTCGGCCTTGGAAATGTGGAAAATGAAGCTTTGAAATGTGGAAAATGGACCCCTTAAAGTGTGGAAAAATGGCCTTTTAAACGTGGAAACTCGGCCTTGGAAATGTGGAAAATGAACCTTTGAAATGTGGAAAATGGACCCCTTAAAGTGTGGAAAAATTGCCTTTTAAACGTGGAAACTCGGCCTTGGAAATGTGGAAAATGAACTTTTGAAATGTGGAAAATGGACCCCTTAAAGTGTGGAAAAATGGCCTTTTAAACGTGGAAACTCGGCCTTGGAAATGTGGAAAATGAACCCTTGAAATGCGGAAAAAGTGTCGAAAAACACGTTTTTGGAGCTGTAAAGAATAGTTGTCCAGCGGCCCCTCCAACTTATATAGTTTATATACAACATGAACAGTTGACAACATGTTTATAGTAAGTGACCAGCAGATAGATTTTTTTTCATCATTTTTGCCTTGGAGAAATCTACGATTTCTAAGTGCTAGAAAAAAATGGCTTAGAATCGTTTTATACGCATTTCTAACACATAGTTTTTTTTACATGGGGGTACTCCAAAATGGATGATTTGGATTTTATGTATACATGGGGGTACCCCAAAATGGATGGTTTACAGTGGAAAATCGTATAATTAAAAAATGGACGATTTCGGGGTACCACTAGGAGTTGATACAATTCTAAGTGCATGGTTACGATATGGCCTTCTAATTCTTAGTGCATTCTAATAATATCACTGCCGGCAATTCTTAGTGCACCCGCAGCAATTCTTAGTGCACTCCCCAGGTATCACTGAGAAGCAATTCTAAGTGATTGTCGCACTGATTTACCAATTCTAAGTGCCAATCACCCACTATATATAGTTTGTATACATACTTAATGTTTATTATATACAAAATGACATTCCTGTCTTACCTGAGCATACGGGTTCAACCATTTTCTGTTATCCTCATTCTTCAATCTTTGTGTGTACCTGTTTACCTGGAGGAGCGGCGTATATGACCTGCGATCATCGGCCAGGGTGGTTTTAGTCCAGCCCGAAGTGTTGCTATCCGATAGATCCCCAATGGCTGGGACCTCGTGGCCAGAAATTGAGTGAAGAGGGGGTTGGGTCGATATCCTGAAGCCCTTCACACTTTTCCAGGTTTAAACGTTTCGAGATTCCATGAATAAATCTACAGCAACCTCTCCAGATTATGTTGGATTTGTCTGAAACTAGGTTTACCCGAAAAGAACCCTGTGGTTTCTCATCATTTTTCATTGACATCATCATTTTTTCGAGGGTTTTCTCATCTTTTTCTCGTTTTCAGACACCTTTTTTTTCCATCGATTTCCATTGATTTCCACGGGATTTCCATGGAGAATTCCGATCGAAATCTCCAGCCAACCCCAACGATCCCCATTCCGCACAAGGCCTGACACAGAGTATTGGGAGATGGCGCTGAATGCCACCAAGGCGGACTTCCCCTTCGACACCTGGAGGGCCAACCTCTCAGGCACGGTACCCAAATTTTTACCCATTTTTTTTTAAGGAACCCCTAGATTTTTTTGGTGTTCACATTCAGTTGGTTGCCTTTGTTTTTTGGACATGTTCATGAGATTTCAGGACTTTAAAACATGTTTCATCATGGTTGGATTAAAAAACATGTTTCATCATGGTCAAGTTCATGGATTTTTCCGGGGAAATATTGCAGTATTATGATGTTTCGTTTTGGTGGAGAGTGGTGGGGACATGTCCCATGACGGACAAGAAATTCTGCCCCAAGATTGGTGGAATCCGTCCCTCATGACATGGAGGTTTCCTAAGTCATGGGGGTACCCCTAGTTATCATCCATTTTCTGGCTGGTGGTTTGGAACATGAATTTGATTTTTCCCATCATATTGGGAATTTCATCATCCCAACTGACGAACTCCATCATTTTTCAGAGGGGTAGGTATACCACCAACCAGATTTTAGATTCTCGGATTTTCCTATGAAACAAACCATCCATTTTTGAGATAGTTCCGTGTCAGAAAAGCCCAAAAGATCCATTGAAATCATCGTGACTTTTGATCTGTGAACATAGATGTCCTTTTCCCATTGGTTGGTTGATTAATAGAGGGGTTTGAAGGTTTACCCCTTTAACAACAGGTTTGTTTGATGATAGATGGGATTAAATTAACCAGTCACCGGCCCCTCTATTTTTACCAAAAGGCCATTATTGGTGAAATCCATGGGAAGATCCATCAGAATCCATCCCTCGCCGACGCTGAGGTTCTTACTCCAAGGCCATCACAAACTTCAAATCCTTCGCGGGGGAGGGCAATCTCCTCTTTGACGCACAGCAACACGCAGATGCTGGAACCCGCGTGCCTGGGACGTGAAAGGGTGGCTGTTTTGGTTTGCTGGGTGGGAGTTTATCTGGTTGGTGGTTTGGAACATTTTTTATTTTTCCATATATTGGGAATAATCATCGCAACTGACTAATATTTTTCAGAGGGGTTGAAATCTGGTGATCATATGTGATCATCCGATCAGATTCAATCAACCATCATTGTGGCTGGGGTTTGCTAGTGGGTGATGAGCAGACATTTGGGAAGATATTGGGAAGAAATTGGAAGATCAAGAGATATCAAGAGCTGCAACTAACATCCGGTGGTTTCTTAAGGTCTTCCTCCACAAACTGGGGCTATCTGGGATGATGCGGTTGAACTGGAGACCCCCAATTTATCATGTGATTATCATGGGATGTTGGGGATGTTTTCAGACAAACCAAAATTAGCATATATGAGAATGTATTAGCATTGGTTGGGTTCACACCATTTTTTTTCTTGGGTAAACCATGGCAAAGCACCATATTTTGTTAGGGTAAAACATGGTGTACGCATCCAAACTTTATTGTTTTTTACATAGTTCCCAGGTTTTTAGGTCAATTTCCTATGGGTTTACCCACCGTTCTTGGTCACATTTTCCATGGTTTACCCAGCTTTTTTTGGTATTTTCTCAGGTTTTTCATGGGTTTTACCAACCTTTCCATGGTTTACCCAGCTTTTTTTGGTATTTTCTCATGTTTTTCATGGGTTTTAATGAATTTTACTAACCTTTCCATGGGTTTACCATGGTTTTTCATGGGTTTACCATGGTTTTCTCAGGTTTTCCCAGGTTTTCCCAGGTTTTTACGAACCTTTCCATGGGTTAAAACGCCACCCCTCCGTCAGTTCGCCCAGGAAGTGCTGAACGAAGCCATGGCGCCGCGGAAGGCCACGGTGCTGCGACGGATGAGTTCCACCGCGAGGTGGGGAAAAGTTGGCCGGAAAGAAGCCATGGATCATTGATAACTGATGGTTAATAGTATGGGTTTGTCTGAAAATATAGGGGTAAATATGTGATGTATTGGATTATTGGGATATAATGGGAATATCATGTGGTATATATATAATATATAATATATATATATATCTGGGTAAATTATAACGACTTCACTACGAGCTCACTGGAAATCATGGTTAGTAAGGGAAATCATCCCCAAATGGCCGAACTATTCAGGTTAGTGAAATATTATAATTTGCCCAGATTGAGAACTGATGGTTAATGATGATGGTTAATATGGTACAGTATCCTGAAATTCCCATTGATTGGTTACTTAACTGATGATCAATGATGAATGGTTACTAAACTAATGATAGTATCAACCACTATTAACTGATGGTTAATAGTGATTAATAGTGGTTAATAGTGATTAATAGGCTAATGATGATTAATAGTGATCAATGATGATGGTTAATAGTGATTAATAGCGATGGTTGCGAAATCCTGCACCACCAAAAGGATGGTTGAACCCCTATAAATAATGGGATAAACCACCTATCAACTGGGAGTAGGCTGGGTAAATCATAACGACCTCACTGTTCGACCAAACCCTGGAATCATGGTCTTTATATGGGAAATCATCCCCAGCCATGGCCGAACTATTCAGCCCGCCAAAATGGCGGAGCTTCAAAGGACAAAGTGCTCACCTTCCGCAGCTGGGGGTGGGCACTCAAAACAAGGAAAGGGGGCCGAACTATTCAGGTTAGTGAATTATTATAATTTACCCAGATTGATATGGCTGTGGATCATTGAAGGGAAATGAATGGAAGATGGAGATTTAAGATGTTTTAAGATGATTTAAGATGGCATATGGTTTAAGAACTGTTTAACATGGATTGAACATGGTTCTAATATGGTTTAATATGGTTTGGCATATGGTTTAGTACTGTGGATACTTTTTTTTTAAACCTATGGGCGTTGATATGATAATATATGGTGATAATACAATGGTTATATATGTATATAATTACCTCTGGGAAGTACCTCTGGATTTTTACCATTAAATATCCCCATGATCATCGCCAACAAACTGGATGGGTAGTTTATTCCTTGAGTTTTTTGCTCTGAATTTACAAATCACCACAACCAGCAAAATATCATTTTGTGGACTATCACAGATTGACCATGCAAAGGGCAAGTTATAGCGATTTATAATGGTATACAACCAACAATCGTGGGGGTATGGGGTATTAATGACTGGGACATATCATGGCTTAATATGGTTTTATATGGTTTAACAGAGATATTCATGGGATGGGATTATGATAGGATACTAGCAACAGGAATGTTTCTATTTTCAATTTCATTCCATTTCTCCAAGTCTCCCAGTGAAATGTTCAATTTGTGTATCAGTGAAACGTAGATAGCCCATGATAGCCCTAAATTTCGATGCTTAACACTAGAATCTACATGAATCTAGGGTCCATGGACCTGAGCAGTGTTCAAAACCCAAGATGTCGTCCCTGCGCATGGTCTCGGGGGTGTGATACTGCTTGGGAACGGATTTTCCAGCAGGGTGATCAGCCCCAAGTTTTTGGGACAAGCCCTACGATCATCAACCATCATTTACCCTCTGGTAATTTGACATAGCTTTTGAACATGGCTCATTAACAGATGATTTACCTATTCCAAATGGTGATTTTCCAGTTCGCTATGCTAAATTACCAGAGGGTATCAACTATCTCCCAATGATATCTCCAGCCACCCTGGGGCCGATCCACAACGTGAAGCATCCATAGGGATAGATGTTGGTAAAGCAACAGGATCCACCCCAACTTTACCGTATTATGCGCTATAAACCATGAAACTATGGATGGTTTATGAGTTTATGACATTGCTAACCACACATTCATTGGTTTACAACCAACTATCATTTTTGTTGGGGATTTTATCGGGAATTCTCAACAGGGTAAATTGAACAATCTTAGTTTAACGATTAGAGTAGATCTGAAGATCTTGGCCACTTGAGTCGGGAAAGTGATGATGATTAGCCGCAGGGTTTCACTTTTTTTTAAAGACACACTCAGTTGAACAAAGGATACCCTCTGGCAAACGTTTACATAACTATAGAACAGCACCACTTTGAATAGGTAAATCAACTATAAATGGCCATTTTCAATAGCTTTTTGTATGTTCACCAGAGGGTAGCTGGTTGGTGCTTTCGCAGGGTGCAACCCTCTAAAATCGGACTCGAGTCGGAAACCAGGAGAATACCCAGCACAACAATGGCATCACCACCATCCTGTTAAACTAATATACACTGGTTGGTGGTGGTTTGGAACCTTTTAATAGTGATGGTTAATAGTGATTAATAGGCTATAAACCAACAACTATGGGAATATTATGGTGATCTGGTTGGTGGTGACTGGAACATGAATGGATTATGACTTTCCCATCATATTGGGAATGGAAAATCATCCCAACTGACGAACTCACTCCATCATTTTTCAGAGGGGTAGGTATACCACCAACCAGTATATATATAATATAGATAGAATGTGATATCATATAGATGTGTATATATTTAATACAATATAGATATAATGTGATATCAGATGTGGAACCCCCCGGAAATGTAGATCATTTTCCCTCATGGATTTCCGCATGGCTAAACCCATGGGTTTTCCACATCTCTTTGGAGTGCCAAGAACTGGGAGCTACGTATAATAGATAATATACACATCTAGGATTGAATATATCTATATACGCACCTTTTAGATCCTTTTAGTATATATACAGTTGTATACAATACTAGATTGTTCTAAATACCTATATAGAATGATATATATATATACATATACATATATACACTTACCTATTATACAATGATATATATATATACACATGATATATACCGATATACAATTACCTATATACGAATATAATGATATACGCCTATAATATATATATATAGTACACATCATATAGATATCTAACATATCTCGTCCTAGCGGCCTCGCTAGGTGGCTCATCTAGGTGGCTCATCAGATGCGTATTTTGGTGTCTCGACTTTTTCGAAGATCGTGTCCGGGGATTCCCGTGGGGTCTTAACCAACTCAAATGATGGTTGAACGACCAACTAAAATAACTGACAAACATGGGGGGATGATGGGGATGCTTTTGGAGAAAAGGGTTACAAGTTGGACAATTGACGTGTTAACTAGATTCCACTTGGATCAATAGAATTCGATCGTGATTAGTGAGTCTAATTGGAGAATAAGGATTGTCACTGGATGCTGAGAAGTATAAGGGGCTCATGAGAACGAGTCGGAGTGACGGGATATGAGTTCACCATTTGATTCTCGTTAGACCTTTGCAGTTTGAATGGGAAAGATGATGATAAACATTTTTTGGGGCAGAGTGATATGAGGGGTCTCTGAAAATTGGGACGCGCAAAACTACTGACCTGAATGTAATGTTGGCAAAGCAATAATACATAATCCACCCATATGGATGGTTTATAGCACCCATTTATGGAAAAATTGGGGATGGGTTACCCTCTGGTAATTTAACGTAGCTATTGAAAATGGCCATTGAAATAGTGGATTTTCCCATTAAAAATGGTGGATCTTTCCATAGCAAACTGTTAGTTTACCAGAGGGTATTATTGCTTTACCATTCGCAAGGAATCCCATGGTGTTGATGGGTTCCCAATGATGAGGTTCAGAGACTGCACGGTGCGGCATGGTGTTTTTGTGTCAGTTTCGGTATCATGGGAATCCGGTACTCAAGATACCAAAAACCAAGGAAATCGGAAATCTATATACTTGTAACTTATAACATTGAGGAGCCTATGAGTGCTCGTCTAGTTTTTGTTACATCCATGCATGTTTGTTGGTTGTATCAACATTTTTCTTGTGAGTTACATCAGATGTCCCTAAGACATCTAAGACTTGGATCTTCTGGATGAATTTCCATGAATTTCCCATGCAAAACGTTGAACAAAGACGCATTGTTTTTTTGGACATGGCGAAAAATGATGTCTAGACCATGGGATTTTGGAGCGACATTTGGGCTGGTCAAACATCCAGTTTGGATGGATAGATCCCCCATTTTTCATACATCTTCATATCTTTTTCCGCCACCTCAAAGTGTTGGATGTCGTCTTCATGCAGAGCCAGAAGATCGGAATGAACTGGGTTTTGGAACAAATCCATCCCAACAAAATTCCCCATGATATATATATATATATTATATTATATATTATATATATATATATTATATATATATCTGGGTAAATTATAACGACCTCACTGTTCTCCCTCACTGGAATAATGGTTAGTAAGGGAAATTATCCCCAAATGGCCGAACTATTCAGGTTAGTGAAATATTATAACTTACCCAGATAGATAGATAGATAGATAGATAGATAGATAGATAGATAGATATATATATATATATATCATATATATATATCATATATATCCCCTTCAAATATCCCCATGGAAATCTCCACAACCTTCCGACGCAAAATCGAGGACATCGACGAGGACGCGGAGTTCCTGACGCAGCCGGTGAGCGACGACCGCACTCACGAGCTGATGAGGGTGCGAAGCGAAACGGATGGGCCAACGGTGGCAGATAGGGAACTGGATAGTATCGTCCAATATTAATATAGCCTATGGAAAATCAACCATGTACAGATGTACTTTTAAACATGGTCACTATGAAACACTGTAAATGATGGGATTATAACGGGGTAGTATAAGTATAGTCCACATGGAGGTTTCCAAACATGGTGGTACCCCAATAGCGGGAAAATCCGAAAAAAAAATGGATAATAACTAGTAACTAGGGGTACCACCATTTATGGAAACCTCCATGTACCCTATGGAAAATCGACCATGTATAGATGATGTACTTCTAAAACATGGTGATTTTCCATAGTTTTTTGCATGTTTACCGGAGGGCAATCATGAACCAACAAGGGTTTTGAACACTGCTTAGATGGGTGTAATGGAGCTATAGGAGGGGTTAACCATAAACATGAACTAGACTATTAGTTATTTATTTGTTATATATCGGAATTAACATAAATTCATGAAACTATGACTATGATTGATTATGTTAATAAGAACCAGTTATCATTAACTATATATCAATAGGTATCACGGTATAACTAATGATTTATGTTATAATAATTAATAACTTATTACATAACTATAGTTATAACCAATTATGATTGATACCCTGTTATGTATTGGATAATTAGGTGATTCCTGGGGTTAACCGGTTTAAAACTGGGCTTCTAACTGCACAACATCATGGGTCATCACCCAGTCACAAACTAGTTGACTGATTCCATGGCCCATCTAAGTAAACATGAGAATGGATAATCCTCAAAGAACATCAACTATCCATTTCCTCCATAGAAATGATATGTTAATATATGTTAATGGACGTTCCTTGCACTCCACGTGCGTTTTTTTCCTGACGACAGGAAGCGATCTTCCAGGGTCAAATGAAGGGCAAGGTGAAGGATGCGGAGCAACTGCAGAGTCAGCCACTGGGACGTTGGTTTTTAGTCACGTGGGAGGCTCCGAAAGTCATGGGGAACCCCAAGTTCTCATCCCAAGGAACCTGGCTATGGATCAATAGCTATAGATACAATGGATGTTAGGGGGTGAACATCCATAAATTTACCAGATATTTTGATGTGAACTACGGGAGTACAGGGTTTTGACCCATCCCAAGATGAGTGGTGATGGTTTTTGGGGAAACCACGGGACAGTGTGACAGGGGTACCCCACTCTTCATCTTCGCTTGGCCATGCGAAAGTCTGAGACAGTCTGATAGCCTCTGGTATTTTTTTACATAGCTATGGACAATCACCATTTTTAGTAGGGAAAAAAAAAAAATATATATATATATACAGTATATATATATACACATCTAAGTCATCAAAATCAATGGGCCATGGCATCATATGGCATCTATAGCTACCATGGTGAAATTTGTCGTAAATTTCACTCGGAGCGTAACCGGGTTGAACCTGGATCCATGGAATCCATGGCTTGACCAGACACCATGGGTTGGTAACTGTCCCATTTTGGGAATATAAAGGACATCACCTAAAAAAGTAGCCATTATAGACCATATACCGATCATGGTTGGGTGATGTTCAATGGGGACATTTAATGACCCATGTAAATCAAAGTCAAAATCATCAGTTTTATATTTGGCATGCTCTTCTCAAAAGGGCCTCTTGGTTTATGATAGATGCTCACCATAAATCCAACCGCTAGTGAACTAAACCACGTTTCCAACAATAAATCACATTTATACATACAATCACCAACCTATTCTTTTTTGTGAGTTCAATCTATTTTTTGGGCAACATACATCATATAAATCCATAATGTTTTTGGTGATTTCCAGGGACCCCCTAAACCCGCCCCGGGACCCTTGGTTTCTTCGCCATGCCATGCGCCATGCTTCGGCGCCGAGGATCTGCCAGGCTGATCAACGGCTGACGGAGCGCAGCCACATGACGCAGTGGCTGATGAAGCCCTTCGCGCGGGGCCTCTGTCTGCGCATCCACGTGGCGCCTCGGTGGTCGGTGGGTGGCGGTTGGGGTGGGGGGAAGGTACCCGGCCTGGTAAACTGCTTGGTGGTGACTGGAACATGACTGGATGATTTTTCCCATCATATTGGGAAGAATCATCCCAACTGACTTTCATATTTTTCAGAGAGGTTGAAACCACCAACCAGTAAACGTTTACAGTTTGCGAACTTGAACATGGCCCAGTCGAAATAGTGGATTTAGCCAGCTAGAAAATGGTGGATCTTTCCATAGTTATGTAAACGTTTACCAGAGGGTGTTTTTTTTGGAACGGAGAAGATGGATCTGACCAAGTTGCGGACAAAAATTGAGGAAGAATGAGGGGAAGAAACTGGTAGAAAAACAATGAGGCGGTGGATGGAAGTTTGAACAGCAGAGTAATTATGGAAACCATATGTATCTCCGAACGAGGTGAGAGTTGATGAAGGTTGTGGCATTTCTTGCAGACTTTGGGTCTCGATCAGTTTGTTTTTGATTTGACACATTGAATTCAGGCCCTTGTACGACTTGTACGCCTAATAAATTTGATTTCATCCTACCCTCTGGTAATTTAACATAGCTATGGAAAATCACCATTTTTAATGGAAAAATCCACTATAAATGGCCATGTTCAATAGCTATGTTAGTTTACTCGGATAGTGTGTACAGTTGGTCACTTAGCTGGATTAGTATAATCCTTTGAAGAGACGATATCACCGCAAAGTACGTGGGGCTGATGAGAGATGAGACGAGCTACCCGGCATTTAACAAAACCTGGCAGGGAAGAATCACCATTTCAATAGCGTTTTTTTTTTTTAAAATGTTGTTTTTTTTTTAAAAAATAGTTACTAAACTTCACTAGACCTGTACTATATATATAGTGGACTATCATAGACTATATCCAAGCTTCACTTAAAATTTTCATGCTTGGTGAATCATTGATAGACATGTTTTGTATATGTTTTTATTGCCAAGTGAGATAAACGTAGGACCGTTGGGGGTGATGAACATGGGGTACGCCCCAAAATCACCGTTTTTCCAAGTAACAATTTAAATTGTTGTTGAGTAACTAACCCATTCCAAGACACACCCCAAACTACTATTTGTTGGCGGAACACACTCTTTCTGATAAGTTAAAGTTCATTTTTCGGTGGTTAAAGCCAGAATTTTTGCAGTGAAATCCATATATAAAATGGATTAAGATGGCTAGTCAAATATACAGTATTTCAATATTTTCAGCCATATTCAGCCATATTCACCCATTCTGCGGCTGCGGTAAAACTCCGAAAAGGGGCCACCCAAGTGGCCACCATGGCCACCATGGCCACTAATCCCGAGGTGATTGCGCTGGGCTACATCTTCTCTCCCGTGGGTGAAACCCTGCTGAAGAGCATGGACGTGCGCGCCTAGTCAGAACGGCACATGTTAAACACGTGGCGTCTCCGGCGTTTCCGGTGTCATTTTTTTTTCGTATAGGAACTACCATCCGAAAAAGGATGGAAACGTCATTTTCCCACTGTTTGAGGGTTTGACTCTTCGATGTGTTTTTTTGTGCTATAAACCCGACGGTTGATTATGGTAATTGATTTAAGTGATGTAACCAACAATCATTGGGAATTCACCAGGTCCACAGAACGCTGAAACACTTCGGGTTTCAAAGCTGGTTTGGTGATTTCCAGCATGAGTCAGGCATCAGAGACAATCATGGCATCAGACCTTATCTTTCCAGGGATCAGACCTTTCGGCGTCCGGCACCAGAGGGACCATAACATGTTTGTTGTTGTTTTTTTGTTTGGTTTGTTTGTTTGTTTGTTTTTTTTGTTTGGTTTGTTGTTGTTGTTGTTGTTGTTGTTGTTGTTGTTTGATATTTGTCAATCTGTTGTGATTGGCAATATCCGCGACAATTTCAGGTCTCAAATGTAGGCACTGTGCCATTACATTCCTTCTTGACATAGATATTCTAGAAGCAATTGAAGGCACCGCATAACCTCCAAGGCTCCAAGGTTTCTATTTCACTTTACCCAATGATTCCCAATGATTCTCATCCATGATCTCCCAACCTTCAAGGCCCGGCCCGGCCCTCAAGTGACGCTTTTCCCAAGGTGCACGGTCCAATACCTTGGCCAGTGAACACGCCTTGTGGATCACTTTCTACATGGGGGCTGGGTCGCTCGCTCGTGCTGGTGGTGGTTGGTTGGATTTGGCGGGTGGTTTTTAGGCCTAGAACCTGGGGATGAGGGGTGTTTTTTGGCCTAGAACCTGGGGATGGGGTGTTTTTTGGCCTAGAACCTGGGGATGAGGTTGAAGATGACCATGAATGATTCACTGGATGGTCTATTTTTAGGAATGCGATTGTCACTGGATGACCTCAAATGAGCAGTGTTCAAAACCCCTGTTGCTCGATGATTGGGGATTATACTACCCTTTATATGAATCTATAATCCAAGAACGGGGAATCCTAACCAACAGAGGGGATATTATGATTATTAATAGAATAGATGATATAGGGATTAGAGGGGATATTAATATTCCATTAGGGATGAAATTTCCCGGAAATTCATGGAACAAAATCCCAGCTGAACCCCTGTTTGGTGCACCTCTGGACGCCACACCATTAGTGGCCTACCTGGTCTGTATTTTCCCCATTGAAGAACCAGGTACCCGGCCTGGTAAACTAACAGTTTGCTATTGAACATGGTCATGTAGTTCGTGGATTTAGCCATTAAAAATAGTGATTTTCCAGTTCGCTATGTTAGTTTACCAGAGGGTAACACATGGTAAATTATGGTCACACTTCATATTTCCTGGTGAAATCCCCCGATGTTCTGGCTGGAAATCGCTCCAAACCTCGGTTGACTCATCGTTTTTCCTGGTAAATCACCCTTTCTTGGTCCTTAAACCACCATTTTTCTATGGTTTTCTATGGATTTCTATGGTTTTCTATGGATTTCGATGGATTTCTATCCGTGAAATCACCATGAATCTCGTCCATTTAGCATCACCTCATCGCCTCCAAACTCTCGGAGGTGTGGCTGCTTGCTGTGGCTCTTCCTCTCACGTGGCATTCCGCCCAATCTTCTGATGGCCAGCTGCTGGGTGGAAGCGAAGGATAGCGAAGGTCTGAAAATGGGCGTTGCTGTGGATGAAAGCAAGGCCATAATAAACATTCAACACCAGGTAGATGGGAAAACCATAGGACAACCATAGGAAAATGGAAGTTTACCCTCTGGTTATGTCAAAATAGCTATTGAAAATGGTACATTTAGTTCGTTGATTTAGTTCGTTGATTTACCCATTGAAGATGGTGGATCTTTCCATACTCACTAAAATAAACTATCCCCAAGAATGTGGGGAGCCAACAATGCCATGAAACCATCCCCCAGTCATCACAATAAATCTATAGGTGGTATGTAGAAACCATTCCCAAATGGGAGGTTTATGACATAAAGTTTTACCCACATTCTAAATGGCTATTTAAAGGGGAAGATGATGAGGTACCATATTTTCAAACTCACCCATCTTGTATTTGTTTATAAACCATGCAGTGAAGAATATCATGAATCATGATCATGTGCGGGGATGCTTATATCACCAATGGTATGGGTGAAAATGTGTTGATGAATGATGATATAAACCAACAGGCAGGTGAAGGGGCGGTAGGTACATGGGGGCCCGAATGATTGGTAAGTAACTAGAACCATCAACGGGATAAACTAGGGACAAAACCTATCGGAAATTAACCAATAAATGATAGCCAGTTGGTCTATCAATATCTGATTTGTGCTGGAGAGATCTGCAGGACATAACCACCTAGTGAAACCTGGCTCTTCCTGTAAATATGGGGATCCCACCGAGAACAGTTAGGATTAATGATCAAACCAACAAATTTCAAATGATCATTATTTGTTAATCAATCAATGGTGATTTTAACCGACCAAATGTCGCTAAAAACCAATGGTGATTTTCACACCAGAGATTTTCGGGTTTTCAGCGAGGGATTTCAGCAACACGACTGGAGAGAAGTTGTCACCAAAGATGAGGACAGCATCTGAGGTTTGACGTTTTATTTTTTTTCTGCAGCTTCTATGGGGATAAAACACATCTGACAAAAATTTGGTCACGACCTCACGTCGCGACATCAATGATTGGAATTGTAGGGGTAAGACTCCCAAAATCACTGAGTATTGAAAGTTAGTACCCTCTGGTAAACGTTCACATAACTATGGAACAATCCACCATTTTCAAGCTGGGTAAATCCACTATTTCGACTGGGTCATTTTCCAGTTCGCTATGTTTGACATAACCAGAGGGTATAGCTTAGTGAAACTTTGTTTTTTTCAAAGCGAAACTTGTCCTCTTCGATGATCCAAGTGCTTTCGGAGGAACTGAGGAACTGGCTTCTGGGAATTTCTTCAAGATGTCCCATCGGGTTTCGAGGTAAACCGTTTATCTTAGCAATTTTCAATCGGTCAAATATTAATCAACAAATAAATATTAATTAAGCATATAGATGCACATAGTCATCTGGTTGGTGGTTTGGAACATGTTTTATTTTCCATTTCATATATGGGATGTCATCCTTCCCATAATATTTTTCAAGATTGTTTTGAAACCACCAACCAGTCATATGATGCGAACATGTCCATCACTTTCCAGGGCTTGTTCAAAAGCAAATTTAAAAATCCATGGCTTCCGGGCATTGGTTGAATCATAGAATTGGATCATGGGAAAATTGAAACCGGAAAACCCCTATCTGTGATGGTAAAAACCCATGGGTTTCCGGTTAAGATTTTCCCATTTTAACCACTCCATTGAAGGGAACAGCCAACCGGAAACCACCACCGCTCCAAGGCTCGCAGTTGCTGAACATCATCTTCTTCGTCTTGGTGCCATCGCTGCCAGGACGGCAACGTGGTGAGTATGGCTTCCAGGTGGTGAAGAGGAGGATTTTTCACAGAGCCTTCCAGTAAAATTCATATTGGTATGGATCAATACCTATAAGTACCATTTTTAGTGGGAATGAACATCCATTTACCAGCTATTTTGATGTTCACAAGGTACCAGGGTTTTGACCCATCCCCATATGGACCATAAAAAAAATGGAAAAAACAAAAATAGTCATAGAGTCATAGACACGAAAAAATAGATGAACATGGGCAATGTTCGATGGAGCCTAATCTTTGGCAGGGTCTATGTTAATTTACTGGAGGGTAATGTTTTTTCTAGATTTATTTGAAGGGAACAATTGCAGTGGACAGGGTAATATTTGAGGTAACGACCATAGAAGTGTTATGAAATGTTCCCCCACAGTTAAACTAATTCATTGATTTGGTGGTTGATGGGATTTTACTCCCGTGTATGGCAAGCCTGAAGGGATAATATAAACAGCGAGAAGAAGATGCAGGGTAGATTGGCAAAGTACACGAGCTTCAGTTCTTGATATGGGTATGGATCAATACCTATTAATACCATTTTTAGGGGGATGAACATCCATTTACCAGCTATTTTGATGTTCACCAGGGGTACACGGTTTTGACACACTGCCATATGGAGGTAACTTTCATGAACTTTCGAGAAGTTGAGGGAGAAAATTGAAGTTCTAGCCATTTTGATGTAAGGACACTCGAGGGAGGCCACATTTTGGGCCAATCCTGGCCGTTCATGTAACGAAAACATCAACTTTTTCGACCATTTACTGTATCTAAAAAATAGATTCTGATATCATATATATCATTATATCATGTATATATATATATGGGGGTGTCCTAAAATGGGGGTACCCCTAAATCATCTATTTTAGTAGGGTTTTCCATTCTAAACCATCCATTTGGGGATACCCCCATGACTATGGAAAGCCACATATATATATATATATATCATATAGACTCAGACACAGCCATTTCTCAACATTTTGCTCAGATGTGGTGATGACAAGGGCAAGCTCTAGAGCTGGAAACCCAGACCCGACTCCCAGTTGGTGTCCCGCTAGAAGGCCATCAATTTCTATATCTACCAGACATCCAACAGCCCTAATAAACCAACAGAAACGCATGGTTTATTGGTGAAATCACCAATTTTGGTCGGTCATATACTCATCTGATTCCATTTGATACAGAAACCCAGAAACCTATATCACTTAGCCATTATAAATGCGGTCCAGCAGGCAACTTCCAAGCAGAACCTGGAGCCCGCCGCTATGGAAAGCAGCCTCCAACTGCAGGTGTCGCCCAGTAGACGGTGTGAACCCCTCTTGGTCTGGCGCAGCTGCCCCTGTGGCACAGCAGTCCGAGTGCCTTTGCTGCCCCTGGTGCGCAGGATCTGATAGGATTGTCACGTGGGGCGAACCAAACTTGGTGGTGGAGCTGGTAGGCTCTTGTACTCGGAGGGGGGGGCGGTGGTAACATCCCCCCCAAAAGTCCTAGGGAAGCCTTTTGCCAAACTCCGACATGGGGCATGTCTAACTGTGGTGGGGACAGCACAGCAGTCCAACGTTCAACAGATTCATGCAACATGCAATGCTTTTGCTGCGATCTTGGCAGATGGAACTGTGGTGACATGGGGCGTTCCAAGCTGTGGTGGGGATAGCACAACAGTCCGAGCTCAGCTTAAGAACGTGCAGCAGATTTGTAGCACACAAGATGCCTTTGCTGCCGTTTTGGCAGATGGAACCGTGGTGGCATGGGGCAATCCTGACCTTGGTGGTGACAGCACAGCAGTCCAAGATCGGCTGAACGGTGTTGAGAAGATTCGTAGCACCATGTCTAGCAGCAGCACAGCAGTCGAAGATCAGCTCAAGAATGTTCAACAGGTTTATGCAACATGCAATGCTTTTGCTGCACTCTTGGCACATCAGTGATCTGCCAGGGTTGAAGCAAAAGCATTGCATGTTGGGGGCGCTCCAAGCGGTGGTGGGGACAGCACAGCAGTCCAAGAGCAGCTTTGGAATGTTGAGCAGATTTGTGGCACAACATCTGCAGTTGCTGCACTCTTGGCAGATGGAACCGCAGTGATAAGGGAAGAACCATACTCTGGTGGTGAGCACAGCAGTTCCAGTTCAGCTCAAGAATCTTCAGCAGATTTATGCAACGTGCAATGCTTTTGGTGGGATTTTGGCAGATGGAACTGTGGTGACTGGGGTGAAGATCATGGCAGGGGCAGCTCCATGCCATAGTCCAGTTGGCCAGTTGCATCTACCATCTGGTTATGACGTTCACAGTTCGCCATGGAAAGATCCAGCATTTGTAAAAACGGTGAACCATCGATTTCTATATGGGTATGGATCAATACCTATTAATACCATTTTTAGGGGGATGAACATCCATTTACCAGCTATTTTGATGTTCACCAGGGGTACAAGGTTTTGACACACTGCCATATGGGCCATGGCTTCCATGGCTATGTTAGTCATCACCAGAGGCTAAGAAATCGAGTCGCCAAAAAGTGACCTGCACACTGACCGTTGGCCGGCTGCGAAAGCACCAGCGTTTTCTGAAGATGTTAGATGTTGGGAAAACCACTACAATCCATCAAACACTTACCATATCATTCGATACCATTCTATACCATTTTAATCCAGTTATATATATATATATCATTATATACATTATCTACATTATATACATTATATATATATACATTATATATATATACTTTATATATATATATATACATACATTATATACACATTTTATACACATTATATACACATTATATACTTTAATCTTCCCATCATTTGAAGTCCACCAGGAGAATTCTTCGAGAGTCCCTTCTCCACCTTGACCTACTTGGGTCTCTGCGGTCTGCAGAGCACCTCGCGCTTACTCTTCATCGTGCCTTGACGCCTGAACGATTGGAGGTTTCCATAGTCATGGGGGGTACCAACCAATAGTTGGATGGTTTATTTCATGGAAAATCGGATCTATAAATGGATGAGAACTGGGGGTAGCCCTATTGTAGGAAACCTCCAAATTGGTTGAGTTGATGAATGTTAATGATGATAAACCAGTGGATCGCATGTTTTTTTCCCATATTTCATTTCCAGATCTTATTCGGAAGATTAGGGGTTTCATGGCAATACCGGTTTAAGAGCCCCTGGTTAATTTATATATATATATTTTTTTTTTTGCTGGTTTTCCCAAAAAATAGTGATAAAACTTGGCCAGCAAACTGGGGGTCCACCGTTCTTCGCGAAACCTCTGGGGCTGGCGTTTTTTGCGACGGAAACCTCCGAGGTGTGGAACTTTAACGAGGTGCTCCGGCATGGGGGATGGCTGAGGGGCCATTGAAAAATAGGGAAGGGTAGGGTTCAGAAGTGGCCGTTTTGATCGGGAAAATGGGTGGAAAATGGATGGAAAATGGATGGAAAATGGATGGAAAATGGATGGAAAATGGATGGAACGTATGTAAATCAGCAGCAGATTGAGGGCTTGGCCATGGTATAATATAGCAGATGTTCAGAGAAAACCATGGTGTCAGATACACCAAATATGTTCTTCATGAGTCTGGCGATTTGTTATCAACCTGTCAGCTGTGCATGTCATACCATGGTTCTAGTGCCTCACTGGCTTGACTTCGCGATTTTCAGCGTGAACCTGAGTGGAACCTGGAAGTGAATTTCAGGATGTGAAACACTTATATCACTTGTAATGTCAACCCCGGATTAATAAACCCTGGTTGATTCATTGTGGTGGTTCCCCCAAATAGTGATTCTTATATATTCTTCTGGCGACTGAAATGGTACCCCCCTTTAATTAAACAGCCGTAAACGGGGTTGGTTAATCCAGGGTTGACATTATATATTATATATGATATATGGATATAGATGGATATCGATGATTTTCTGGGATATCCCTATTAAAAATGGTGATTTTCCATGGCTCTGTAACAAATAACCAGGGTTGACATTAAATCAATGTCTGGATATTTCGAGAAGAGCACTGGCTCGGCGATACTTCAGACAAGAATGGACAGAGACTCAAAGTGTCCAGTTTCAGCCCGTGCTTGTCCAGTTTGTTAATAGTGATGGTTAATAGTGGTTAATAGGCTATAAACCAACAACAATGGGAATATTATGGTGATCTGGGTGGTGGTGACTGGAACATGACTGGATTATGACTTTCCCACCATATTGGGAATGTCATAATCCCAACTGACGAACTCATATTTTTTCAGAGGGGTAGGTATACCAGCAACCAGAAATAATTGCTGGTTCTTGCAAATTGTTAGAACATGTTGCAACCCGCTTCTTTGGATACTAATCCAACAAACCCAGTTGGCTAACCAGTCAATGAAAAATCATTGGATTCTTCAAATTTTCCCAAAGTTAACCAATGTAGCCTGGCAATGTACCCTCAAACACCATGGTGTTTCATCATTTTACCCATAAAGATATAGAGGGTATACCTCATTTTCAGGCATGGCTATGTCAGAACTATGACAAATGCACCCCTCAGATGCCGAGCTGTCACATTATCAACCCCTAGAACATCCCTCGAGCCTCAACGTTTTCCATAAACAAACCACGCAATAGACAATAGAAACATCTAGAAGCCATCAACCATCACTTTTCTAACGTTTCAGCACGATTGGGCCTCTCCTGATATCAAGAAACAACACTTTTTCTTGGGTACTTCAATGTTCCATCAGTTCTCATCAATTCATTGATGGGTTGATACAATTATATTCTCATAAATTCATTGATGGCTTATGGCTTATGTATGTTTCAACTAGTTTCAATCATCCCTATCTGGTTGGTGGTTTCAAACAGGTTTTATTTTCCATAATATATGGGATATTCCTTCCCAACTGACGAACTCATATTTTTCAAGATGGTTCAAACCACCAACAACATTAATTCATTGAAATTCATGGATTAATGAAGTAACTAATTGGATATATGAACCATTATTATCAGTATATTAACCATATATTC